GATAGAGGCCCCTTTGTCTGGGGGTTTATGGCGTGCGAGGCAGCCCTTCCGGCGCGGCAGGAAGCGCCGATTGGAACCAGATTGGCCTGGGGGGCCCAGGGCCGGGGGCAGGAAGAGGGGGAGGGAGGCGCCTCCACCGCCTCACACCAGCTCCGGCACCACTTCAGGCTTCCTGGCCGCCCCACGGCCTCCTCGCGCCCCGCACCCCGCAGGCTGCCCAGGCCTGTGCCGTCCTGGCCGCCGGGCCCCCAGGTTGGCGCTGTCCCTGGGTGGAGGATGCTGCTTGGGGCTGGCCATGACCTCAGGTCCCTGCAGCAGTGCCCGGCACCTCCGTGTCCCATGATGAGGACTTGCCCGGCCGCTTGGCCGTACTGGGAGCATGTGTCCCACGGGCCCACTTGGCGTGACCTGCGGTCCCACGGGGGCCCGGGGAGCTCACCCTGGGGGGCAGTCTCAGCCTGGGGGACAGGCTTTCCGGGGTGCTGGGACAGGCAGTGGCGTTCCCTCTGCACTGGGCAATCGCCTGGGTCCATGCCGCCCCGGTGAGGATGGGGTTAAGCCCTTTCCACCCTGGTGGGATAAGTGCAGGCAGCAGAAGGCAGGAGGTAAGAAGGCAGCAGAAGGCAGGAGAGGAGAGCGGCAAGGTGCGAATGCCCCTTCCCGAGCGGGGCCGGGGCCAGCGCTGGGCAGGGGCTGGCGCTGCCTGCAGTGAGGGCAGATGGCGGGGCAGCCGTGCCAGACGGCACGGGGCCGCATCCGGCACTCGGCCCCAAGGTTGGCGCCTCTCTGGCCCCTTCGGGCTGGAGCTGGAGCTGGGGTCGGGGGGCCATGGGCGTGAGAAGAAGTGATTGTGTGGGGCTGGTCAGCGCTTCAATGGCCCTTTGTGCGCCCTTCCTGGCCCGGGGCTGGAGGCAGCGCTGGCCCCACGCCAACCCTGGCCCCTGCAGTGCCGGGGGGACGGAGGTGCCCCCCACTGCCCCTGGACCCTGGTGGTGCTGGGGAGGGGTGGCGATGCTCCCCATTGCTCCTGGACCATGGTAGTGTGTGGGGGGATGGCAGTACTCCTATTGCTCCCTAGACGCAGCATTGCCAGGGGGACGGTTGTGCCCCCCATTGCCCCTGGACCTCCACGGTGCCCCCGTCCCCCTGCCCTCAGACTGATCCCTTTGCCTGCCCTGCTGTACCCCAGCCCTCGTGCCCCACCAGTCCCTGCCAGTTGCTACCCCACACTCCCCCTTGCAGTACGGTGGGCGGGAGTGGAGCTCCTGGGATCGGCTGGAGATGCGGGCAGTCGGCGCAGATGGGCAGGAGATGACAGTGCAGGAGGTGCTGGACTGGCTGCAGGTGAGCCTGGCGCGGGCGGCACCCAGCCGGGTCACCCTGGGGGGTACAGGGCTGATCCTGACACTACCTCTTGCAGAGGACACATGGCTGGACCGTGACCATGCTCCTGCGCGGCCACACCGTGCTCTACGACAGGGAGGAGGACGAAGAGACACGGACCCGGCAGCGGGCGCAGAGGTAGGTCCCCAGCTCTGGGGCCCAATCCTGCCCTGGGGAGGCTGCCAGACCCCTCTCCTTCCATCCTGAGCCACTCCAGCTGCAGCGCAGCTCCCAGCCAGCTGCTGGATAAACATCCTGCCGGCAGCACTTCCCGTGGCGGGACCCCTGCCCGGCCCTGCGCTGCCGGCCCCTGCGTCCCCCCAGCCTGGCTGGGTA